CAAAACCAAACATGAAGGCAGAACATATAACAGAGTGTGTGTGTGTGTGTGTGTGTGTGTGTGTGTGTGTGTGTGCGCGCGCGCGCGTGTATTTATCCCCCCTTTTAAAGACAGGGTCTCAATATGTAGCTCTGGCTGTCCTGGAACTCACTCTGTAGACCAGGCTGGCCTCACATTCACAGAGCTCTATTTGCCTCCCAGATGCTGGGATTAAAGGAGTGTGCCTGGAGAGCAACACTGGAAAACACCTACTGATGACCTCTGGCTTCTACAGACACAGACACAGACACAGACACAGACACACACACACACACACACACACACACCCCATATATACCATTGGCGAGCACTCTCTCCTTCCTTCTAATTTATACCTACCAATTTCCCAGTTTTCACGCAAAGAGACACACAGGTAGAGCAGAACTGCTGAGCTAGGCCAAGAACCCTGTTGGGAACCCTGCGCAGTCATGAAATAGGGACATCTAGTGGCGATTAGAAGACTTGCTCCTGGTCACTGTAATAAGCAAAGACTTAATCCAACACTAGGGTGCTTTTGGAGGGAGCCCCAGGAATGGGGCAAAAAACCTGGACTAAGCGTGACTGAGTCAGAACTCCAAGAAACTCCAGGCTGAAGGGTTAACTCAACAAAATGTTTTATGCCATTAAATTACTTAATTTAATTACTTAATATGCACCTGAGCTCCAAAAAGCCACCAGCAGGAGGTGGTTCATGACAGGTCCATTCCCACAAGGACTTCTGGGAATGTGACCACATTAGAAAAAACAAGCTCGTAAGTTGTGATAATAGTATCAGGGAAGTGGAGGCTGAGATCTGCCTCTCCATGGCTTGGAACTCAGGCACTCAGGGAACTGGTCTTAGCACAGAATCCAGTCTCCCCAGCTCCCCAGGACTACTCACGGTATATATCAAGATGCATGGGGCTGGAGAGATGGCTCAGAGGTTAACAGCATTGGCTGCTCTTCCAGAGGTCCTGAGTTCAATTCCCAGCAACCACACGGTGGCTCACAACCATCTATAATGAGATCTGGTGCCCTTTTATGGTGTGTAGGCATACATGCAGACAGAACATTATATATATAATAAAGAGTCCAAGGCAGAACAACATGGGCAAGAAACACATTTATATAACCTGATGGATCCCAGGACTGTCTCCAGCCCTGCCCTGGAGAGAAGGCTGCCTGTTACCTGGGCCCATCTTCCCAGTGAAATCCATCCTCTGTAGAGGATGAACCTCCAGTTTCTCTGAGTCCTCTGCTCTTAAAAGCTGCTTGGCCTCTAGGAGAGAGAACTAATGCAAACTTCAACTCTAGCTTGGATTCCGTTCCGATTTTTTTTTTGTTTTTGTCTTTTGATACAGGGTTTTTCTCTGCAACAGTCCTAGCTGTCCTAGAACTCTGTAGACAAGGCTGGCCTTGAACTAAAAAGATCCACTAGCCTCTCCCTCCCAAATGCTGTGATTAAAGGCTTGGGTCACCACCACCCGGCTCCGTACCAGGATTTTTCAAGACAGGGTTTCTCAGTAGCTTTAGAGCCTGTCCTGTAACCTGCTCTGTAGACCAGGGCTGGCCTTGAACTCCAGATATATTCACCTGCCTCTGCCTTGGGAGTGCTGGGAATAAAGGCTTGCACCACTACCACCAGGCAGTTTTCCAGGATTTTTTTTTTTTTCAAGACAGGGTTTGTCTGTGGTTTAGGAGCCTGTCCTGGAACTAGCTCTGTAGACCAGGCTGGTCTCAAACTCACAGAGATCCGCCTGCCTCTGCCTCCCTGAGTGCTGGGATTAAAAGCGTGCACCACCATTGCCCGGGTCAGTTTTCCAGGATTTTTAAACAATTTTGCTGCTGTTGTGCTAGGGATTAAACCCAGGGCTGCCACTGAATTAATTACACTTTGGCCCTTGGGCTAGTTTTTGAAGGATACTGTAACTCACAGGGCAGTCTGTCCTCTTTCTTTAGGGTTTCTGTTTTAACAGTCTCATTCTATAGATCAGGTTGGCTTGGCAATCATGACAATTCTCCAGCTTCAGCATCACAAGTTCTGGGCTTGCAAATATAAGATACCATGGCCAGCTTAGTGTTTGTTCCTTAGGGACACTCAAGTCAAGCTTTACAAGAATCAATCAGTAAGGACCAGCCAGTGGGGTAAGCAAAGAGCACTGAAGCATACAGTCAACAAGCTTGGGACTTACACGCTACTGTCCGTAAGGGATAGGGTGTCAGCATCACTGGACAGGCTCTGCTGTTCACTATCATTGGCGCTGGTGGCTGGGGCCAGGGCATAGCCAGAGTTGACATAGTAGGGGTTGACGGGCTCCCTCCAAGATCCATACCTGTGAATAAGAAAGACACATGAGTGGCAGCAGAGCAATAGTCTCCTATTTTAATGTACACTGTAGAATTTTCTGGATTACCACATGAAAAATTCAGAGAAAAACAGAGCAAAAAAGTCCTGTCTCCATCTCGCTGTTCTTCTCATTCCATTCTTCTCAATTCGAAAGAAAGGATTAAAAAGGGTCTAAGCTATGGGCATCTTTCCAGATGTTTACTACTTTTTTTTAAAAGGCATTCAAGTATACATAGGCAGAATAATATCTGTGTAGCAGAAAATGCTCCATCTTTCTCCTAAGAGTACAACCAGAAAGGATCCATGATCCCTGTTATAGCTACAAAGTAACCCACTTCTGGCCCATGCCAATAGGTATTTCTGAAGAAGCCAGCCAGAGCCCCCAGGACTCTAACTCAGGTCCCTGGGCTCCAGGCATAGCCCATGGACAGAACACAGAGATGAAATCTGCTGCTGGGTAGTCATGGGGAGATGGTTCAAAGCACCACTACTAGGGCTAACAGAATCCAGTTGTTGCTATACAATTGGTCAAAACACAATATACTTAATCTGCATTTTCCCTAAAGATACTTTTGGGTACTTGTCGTTTGCTTTTCTCATCTCTTTCTGGCGTTTGGTCCTTGCCTACTATGTGATTTATAAATTCACAACAGTTTTCAAATTACAAAATTATTTTAGCTGGGCATAGTGTCATGTGCCTTTAAGCCCAGAATTTGGGAAGCAGAGGCAGGTGGATTTCTTATGAGTTTGAAGCCAGCCTTGTCTACATACTGAGTTTCTTGCCAGCTAGGACTATAAAGAAAGACTCTGTCTCAAATTCAAAAAAGATGCCAAGTGGTGGCTGTGCATGCCTTTATCCCAGTATTCGGGAGGCAGAGACAAGTGGATCTATATGAATTCGATGCCAACATGGTCTATGGAGCTAGTATCAGAATAGCCAGGGCTACACAAAGAAATCATGTTTAAAAAACAGAAACAAGCCGGGTGGCGGCGCACGCCTTTAATCCCAGCACTCGGGAGGCAGAGGCAGGTGGATCTCTGTGAGTTCAAGACCAGCCTGGTCTGCAGAGCTAGTTCCAGGACAGGCTCCAAAGCCACAGAGAAACCCTGTCTCGAAAAAAACAAAAAAACAAAAAAAAAAAAAAAAAAATACCGTATGAGTGTTTAGCCTGCATGCATATAAGTGTACTATGTGCATGCCTGGTGCCCATGGAAGCCAGAAGAGGTCACTGGATCTCCTGGAACTGGAGTTATGGACAGCTGTGAGTTGATGTTTAGGTGCTAGGAACAGAACCAGGGTCTGTTGCAAGAGCAGCTAGGGCTCTTAACCAATGAATCATTTCTCTAGTCCTCCAACTATTTTTACTATTAATATGCATACATATTAGTACCTACCTATATAATATATTCATACAAAATATTTTCTCCTTAAACATACTTTTTCTTTTTTCAAAAAATAATTTATTTTATGTACATTGGTGTTTTGCCTGCATGTATATCTGTGTGAGGATATTGTATCCTCTGGAACTGGTGTTATAGACAGTTGTGAGCCGCCATATGGGTGCTGGGAATTTAACCTGGGTATCTGGAAGAGCCGGTGCTTTTAACTGATGGGCCATCTCTCCAGCTCCAATATACTTTTTCTGACATTCCAAGCCCTCTTATCCTGATCCCTTGAATGCATGATCCTGCCTCAGTCTTCCTGAGTAATTGAGATTATAGGACTGTACCACCATACCTGATCCTTATAACTTTTTGCATTGTGCAGACAGACCTTTTCATTTTAGGTTATAAACACAGTATTCTATTATTATTTAAAACCATTAAAAGATTTTTTTAAAGATTTTTTTGAGGCAAGATTTATCACTGGCTGATCTTGAAATTGCAGAGATTATGCCTCTGCTTTCCCAAGCATATAACATGATATATCATAGCCAGCTTCCATTAATTTTCTGCTTGTGGTTTTTTTTTCCCCCGAGACAGGGTTTCTCTGTGTTGCTTCGGAGCCTGTCCTGGAACTAACTATTGCAGACCAGGCTGGCCTCGAACTCACAGAGATCTGCCTGCCTCTGCCTCCCTAGTGCTGGGATTAAAGGAGTACGCCACCACCGCCCAGCTCTGCTTGTGTTTTAAGAAGAGGCTCAGGTTGGCCTCCAATTCACATTCCCTCTGCCTTAGCTCCTCAAATGCTGGGATTACATCTATCTGTTACCATCAAGGCTTCCAATACCATTGTGTGTGTGTGTGTATCTGTGTTTGTAAAGGTGCAAGTGGAAGTCAGAGATCAACCTTAAGGGTGTTCTTCAGGAAAATGGCTATCGAGCCAGCCTGCCCCAAGGATCCGTCTCCATCTCCTGAGGGTTGATTATTACAGCTGGCTGCTTCTGTGAGTGATGGGAATCAATCTCAAGTCATCAAATTTGCATGACAAGTCCATTATTGACTAAGTTAGTGCCCTGGCCTCTAATAGCTGTTTTAAATTTTTCTTTGATTTTTATCTGAATTGGAGATATGCACAAATAAAACTTAGCTGATGCTCTGACCCCACAATGGATGGCCAGTTGTTAGCAGTAAATACTACATAATAGGTAATTAAATGCTACTCTTGGCCACATCCTAACCACACTTTAAAAAAAAAAAAAAAAAAAAAGAGCCTCTCCGTGCTTGGCTTAGGTTCCGGCGACATGGCTAAACGCACCAAGAAGGTCGGGATCGTCGGGAAATACGGGACCCGCTATGGTGCCTCCCTCCGGAAAATGGTGAAGAAAATTGAAATCAGCCAGCACGCCAAGTACATGTGCTCCTTCTGTGGCAAGACCAAGATGAAGAGACGAGCCGTTGGCATCTGGCACTGTGGCTCCTGCATGAAGACAGTGGCTGGTGGGGCCTGGACCTACAACACGACTTCTGCCGTCACAGTGAAGTCTGCCATCAGAAGACTGAAGAAACTGAAAGACCAGTAAAAGTGCTACCATTTGATACACAAGCCTACGAACTACAATAGTGCACAGCCAACAAATAAATGGGTTAATTTACATAACAAAAAAGATTTATTTATTATGTATACAACATTCTGCCTCCATGTATGCCCGCATGCCAGAAGTGGGCGCTAGATCTCATTACAGATGGTTGTGAGCCACCATATGGTTGCTGGGAATTGAACTCAGGACCTCTGGAAGAACAACAGCTAGTGCTCTTAACCACTGAGCCATCTCTCCAGCCCCCCAACCTCACTTTTAACACAGAAATGTGGATTACACATTGCTGTACTGAGACTAACCCTGTAGCAGTTGTACATCTGTAACAGTGGTTCTAAACCTGTGAGTCACAATCCCTTTGGGGTCAAATGATCCCTCCACACAAAGGTCCCCTATCAGATATTCAGCGTATCACACAATCTTAAAAAATATATTTATTTATTTATTATGTATACAATATTCTTTCTGCGTGTATGCCTGAAGGCCAGAAAAGGGCACCAGAGCTCATTACAGATGGTTGTGAGCCACCATGTGGTTGCTGGGAATTGAACTCAGGACCTTTGGAAGAGCACACAATGCTCTTAACTGCTGAGCCATCTGTCCAGCCCCCGTATCATATATTCTCATTTGATTCCTAACAGTAGCAAAATTACAAGTAGCAATGAAAATAATTTTATGGTTGGGGGTCACCACATGAGGAACTGCATTACATGGTCACAGCATTAGGAAGGTTGAGAAGCATTAGTCTGTAGCGTCTCCTGCCAATTCTCTTCTTTAAAGATGGCCCTCAGCTGAGCATGGTGGTGAATCCCTTTAACTTCAGCACTTGGGAGGCAAAGGTGAATTCTGGGTATATAATATAGAGTAGTGTGGTTCTCATTTTCCTAATGCTGCAACCCTTTACAGTTCCTCATGTTGTGCTGACCCCAACCATAAAATTATTTCACTGCTACTCATAACTGTAATTTTGCTACTGTTAGGAAGTGTAATGTAAACATTTTGAGATAGAAGCTTGTCAAAGGGGCTGGAGAGATGGCTCAGAGGTTAAGAGCACTGACTGTTCTTCCAGAGGTTCTGAGTTCAATTCCCAGCAACCACATGATGGCTCACAACCATCTGTAATGAGATCTGGTGCCCTCTTCTGGCCTGTAGGGACACATGCACATGCAAGAGAATGCTGTATACATAATTAATAAATAAATCTTTTTTTAAAAAAAGAAGTTCGTCAAATAGGTTGCAACCCACAAGTTGAGAATCACTGATATAGCATTCCTGGCCAGCCATGGCTATACAGTGATGGCCTCAACAGCACCACTCGAGAGCAGCAAATTAGGAAATAACAAGGATGGGGGCATTTGAGAGGTTCAGCTGTTTGAACACTGGATCCTAGGGTTAGAGCCCTTCCATTGAGTGGTAAGCCATGGGCTATGCTTGACTGCCAGGCACTCTGTACCATAGCTTGGTGTAGAAGGAAAACCCAAATCTAAGGGACTAGGCCTCCTTTTGGACATCCATTTGCCAGGTGAACAGAAACTTTAAGAAAATTCTAACTCCATCAATTGTGCAAGGGCCCTTCAACAAGATGTACTAGATGGGCATCTCAGAATTCCAAGCTATTATACCCTAGGATATGTGGGCCAGACAGCATTTGACCTTAAAAGGCATACCCTGATCCTTTGTCCCTATACTTCAGAAGGCCCAGCATCTAAACTCAGGAAGGAAGGTGACATTTTGTAAGAGCAGTGCATCCCAACACTCATCTCATTCTTTTTTTTTTTTTTAAAGATTTATTTATTTATTAAGCATACAATGTACTGCTGGCAAGGAAGGCACCAGGTCTCATTACATTACAGATGGCTGTGAGCCACCATGTAGTTGCTGGGAATTGAACTCAGGACCTCTGGAAGAGCAGCCAGTGCTCTTACCCTCTCTCCAGTCCTACTCATCTCATTCTTGAAGTGCAAAGATACAAGGGGCGATAACAGTGCTAAGAAAATGAACCCATCTGTCAGTCAGAGAGCATTCTGACTACACATTGTAGCCCCAGATTATTTGCACTGGGCATTAACGGGCCATGGCTGGTCAGAGAAAGGCAAGACCAGCAATCTCAACCTGGGATGTATGTTAATTGCTAAGAGGCTACTAGGTGTTTGAGAAACCAGCTCTTTGGAATCAGCACCATGTATCTGCCATGATATCTGGGTCAGTCCCTTATCCCCATGGGTCAGGTCAGCCTATGACTTTATGTTCTTTGCTGAAGTGCGCAGAAACATTTTTCAAAAACATTGTTATCCTCTAAGTTTAAAATCAGCACAGTTATGTCAACCAATACTGTCACGACCACACAACCACAGAAGTAAAACTCAGAATGTTGCTTAATGCTAAATCATTCTTGAATTTGGTTGAAAACTACTAAGAATATTAAGCCACATGGTGGCACATGACTGTAATGCCAGCAAGTCAAGAAGAGGCTGATATAGGAGAATTACAACAAACTGAGGGAGGCCTGCATGATCTATATTCAGAGTTCCAGGCTAACCAGATCTATATAGTGACACCCTATCTTTAAGAAAAGAAAAGTAAGCCGGGCGGTGGTGGCGCACGCCTTTAATCCCAGCACTTGGGAGGCAGAGGCAGGCAGATCTCTGTGAGTTCGAGACCAGCCTGGTCTACAAGAGCTAGTTCCAGGACAGGCTCCAAAACCACAGGGAAACCCTGTCTCGAAAAACAAAAACAAAAAACAAAAAAT